CCGCTCCGAGCTCCTGCTGCCCCACGGCCACGGGCTGGACGCCTCGGCGCTGGCCGACAACCTGGGGCTGCACGACATGGCTCACCAGATGGAGGAGGTGCAGGTAAGCGCTCGGCCTGCTGGCCCCAGCCTTGGGGCAAAACCCTCCCTTTGCATCGACCGACGCTCTCCCCGGCAGCACGGGTAGGGCTGGGTTTAGCGAGAGCCACCTGAGTCGTGTCCTCTAAAAACTTTACAAGGTGCGAAACTCTCTCCCCTTTCTCTTTCCAGAACGTGGAAGATCAACACTTATTAATGCATGACCAGACAGTCATTAGAAAAGGTCAGTAAGCTGGCATTACGGTTTACTTTCCCTTGTCAGTAGTTAAATTTTAATTTGTGCGTGGTGCCCGGAGGTGGATTGATGCCTTATAATCCTTAGGAGAAAGATCCTTTAGGATTGGGAGGGCGGAGGGGAAGACCCGCACCAGACCCTCTGTCCCCGTCCCCATCGTGTGCTGGGTGGGAGAAGTCCTTGGGTTTGCAAACGGTGCCGATGGCAGGGCATCCTGGACGGGGAAGCCTGGGGGGCGTTTCCGACGGCCCCCGCAGGGGTGCCCTTGCTGTTCTGTGTGCCTTTAATCGAAACCGGGATCTCGGGCCGAATTTAATGCTGCCCTGGAATTCATGCATGCCGAGTGACACAGGGCTCTTCTGGTTTTGTTGCTAGCACTCGAAGGCAGTTTGCTTTTTCCTTCAACTTCTTTACAAGAAACACTTGAGGAGTGAATGAGCTCCCTGGCGTAAGCCTGTTTGGCGTTATCCTAATCGAAATGGTTTTGCAGTTGAGGCTTTACGGAAGGCAAGAGGCGTATTGACTCAATTTGAGAGTACAGTCGTTCAGGGTTTTAATTTTTTCTGCTTTTGTTTTTAAACAAATTTGTGCTTCAAAAAAAAAATCGGTGGAAGTTTCCTCTAAAGACTTCAAACAAATAAGCTAGCTGAGGAAAAGCAGGAGTGTTGTCAGAGCACTGATTGCTGCATTTAGCTCATGGGAGAATTATTTTGCTGTCAGATGCACCACTGAAAAGTCTTCCCCCCTCCGGGAAGCGAGGCCAGCCTCGCTCCTTAACCCTTTCCGACCGGACTGGGTGGATTTACAAAGGGTGGAAAAGCTGGATGTGTGGTTGGTTTCTTTGCAAAGCTTTTGTTGTCCCCGTTCACCTAAACCTGAAGTTTTACTTTCAGTTCTTTTCTGGGCTTCAGTTGTCTCTGTTGCGCTTTCTGATCCGAGTTTGTTGGGATCCAATTCCCAGGGCGGTTTCCCGAGTGTCCGTGTTGGCAAGGGTGGGAGGGAGGTGAGGCGCAGTGGTAGCTGGAAGCCGCCTCTTGCGCTCGTGGGAGGCTAGGAGACCTCTCCCTGCGCGAGAAGAGGTTTTGGCAGTAGCTGAGGGATGCTAATTTGTACTCGGTAGTTGTATCAGGCTGCTTATAAGTAAGAATTTGTTAACTTGTGGCATACTGTTTCACTGGGCTGTATGCAGAATGGCTTTTTTTTTGGAGGGGGGTGCATTTTATTTTTTAAGAGTATTCTTAATTACAGTCAGCAACTCCTTGAAAGTGAGTGTGACAAAAGATAGCTATTGTTCAGGGCCAGTTGTGGGGACCTTCCCTCTGCAGTTAGCGCCGCGCTGCAGAGCGGTTGAGAGTCAGTGCTGAGCATGTAGCACAAAATGAAATCCCCTCTCCTGCTCTTTATTTGCACAAAGGAAAATCACTTGCCACTTCCTATTTATTTTTGTCTTTTATAAAATACCTGCTCTCCCTCTTCCTCCTGCAGGTCCCATTTCTTTAACGAAAAACAGTGCTCTCAGTCTGCCCTGCCAGAAAGATGGATTAATCGGAGTGGTCATAAACCCCAATGAAGTATTTTGCTCTGTTCCGGGAAGACTTTCCCTCCTGAGCTCCACGTCCAAATACAAAGTGACAGTAGCAGAGGTTCAGAGAAGGCTTTCGCCCCCCGAATGCCTCAACGCCTCCCTGCTGGGAGGATTAATCCGAAGGTAGGCTACGGCCCGCAGCCACGCTCCGTGCGTCTACTGGTACTGATCTCTAGTTTTATTATTTTTTCCCCTCCGTGCCTGTGTGCGCCAGATTTTAGCACAACGAGGAGCTAAGAAATAGCGGATCCAAAGTCTTCTATCCAACTGCTGATTTTTTTAATTTATTTTATTTTTTTTAAGCCCAACAACACTGAATCCTAATAGGCTTTGGAAATAAAACTTCTTTGCACTTCTGCCACTTTTCCAAGAGAAGTGCTATTAACAGTTCTGACAGCAGCTCTCGTACTCTGTCTAAAAGTCTGATTTTTCTGGCTCTAAGCGTTGCTTATGGAGCTTTCTTGTTCCCATGACAAGTTGTCTCCCCAGGAAGTGATTTTAGATTAAATCTCCTGATTTTTGACTCAGCATTTAAAAGGATGCTTTCTATATCCCTTTTTGCATACAATTTTAATTTAGGTTGCTATCATTGTACAACTGTTGGTTTCGATGTTGCAATTTTAAATGTTTTTGATTTTTGACCTCTGTTGTGTTTCATGCTGGCTGGTTTGTAGTAGATTATTTCAAATGTAGGTCGCTTGAAAAGGGAGCCTGTTTTTCATCTTTCCCCCAGTAGAACCTTACTGAATGTCAGCAACTGGAATTTCTCATCTTTTTTAAAAAAAAAAAAAAAAAGAAACCTTGAAGATAAATAAGGCCCCTTTTTTTCCTCTAATTACAGAGCCAAATCTAAAAATGGTGGCAGATCATTAAGGGAAAAACTGGATAAAATTGGCTTGAATCTTCCAGCTGGTAGAAGGAAAGCTGCAAATGTGACGTTATTGACATCTTTGGTGGAAGGTCAGTCTTGAATGTCTCTTAAAAATAAACTTTTTTGCTTTCCCCTCCTTGTGTACAGCTTATATACTGCAGGCAAAGCACAGGAAGGCTGGCACATCAGCAGGCACCATTTTTATTTTATTTCTTTTAAAAACGGGCGCGTTGGCGACACTGCAGCTCGTAACTGCCGCGTTGCGGGTCGGGGCTCCTCCTTCCCCCTTGCAGCGGGCTGTCGCAGCCCTCGGCCTCGGGCAGCCCCGACTCGGCCTGTCGGCGGGGTGGGGTCCCTCCCGGGAAACGCTCGGGTCCGGGGGCAGGCGGCCCCGGTGCCTGGCCCTACCTCAGCGGCCTCCGCAGCAGCTTTCCTAATAAACGAGCATATAAAGTGAGATTTATAGCTCTTGACTTCCTGATAGGAAACTGGAGCCCCTTTAATCTGCAGCATGTTGTGTAGACCCTCTCTCAGTTTAGCTGAGCTTGACAGATGTGGGTATCGGTGTATTTATGCCTGTGTGTGGTTACGCTATGTGGTTCTGTTTAAGGCAGCTCCTGGTAGTGGTACAATTTAATAGGACAAGAAGCAGCAATTTAAACGTGGGAAAATGGTACGATACCGTATTTCTATTGCACTTCTGCATTGTCTCTTAAAACACCAACTTCCACTAGAAACCTTTTTTGGAAGTTAGTGTTAAAAGAGTAGAAGTAACGTGAAAGGGAAGAGTGCCTGTGTGCGTGCACGTGGACACGCGCACGGTAGAGGAGCGCACGGACTGATCGTGCCTGGCAGTTCTTCATCGCGGCAGTGTTTTCAGGCTGAAAGAGTGGCCTAACTATACATCTTTCTGTGTTATTTCTGTAAGATTATTGGAAAAGTTGTTAGAAAATAAATTAATAAATTAAACAAAAAAAGTCCTTTATTACATGGGTGGAGTTTAGTTACCAATTTTTAAAATATCAGTGCTTTTTTTTTTTTTTTTTGAGACTAAGTTATAAGTTATAGCCTTCATTGTGCAGTTTGTCTGGAGAGAGGCAAGATTTTTTTATTTCCGCTATAAGGACAAAGGAAAATTAGATATATTTTGTAGGAGTGATTTTTTTTTTTCTTGATGTAAATTTACAAAGAAAGACTGTATATCTACTGATTAGAAACCAGTAACAAATAGTATGATGGAAAAATACCAGTGTTTGTTTATATTAAAAATAAGAGCATACTTCAAGAATTCAAAGTACCTTGTGTAATTCCCTGGTGTCCTTATAATAAATAGATGTAATTACGTTTAATAAGCATTCCCTTTTCCCTGTGCCAGGTGAAGCTGTACATCTTGCTCGTGACTTTGGCTACGTATGTGAGACAGAGTTTCCGTCCAAAGCAGTGGCCGAATATTTAACTAGACCGCACATGGGCCGCAACGAAATGGCCAACAGGAAGAATATGCTTCTTGCAGCAAAGTAAGTTTTGAGGGTTGCATTTTTCTTTTCCCTTTTTCTTTTTTTCTTTTCAAAGATGCTTTTGTTTTGACCCTGCGTATCTGTGGTTGTGTACAGAGTCGCGTGCGTTTTCTTGTGCAACTTGAACTGGGGAGGTGAAGCTACTCTTTTGATCCGGTTCTGGTTTTAATTCAGTTATGACAGCAATTATTTTAGTTTGAACCAATAATAATAGTAAGATAACTCTAAACCAGTCTGAACCGATTCACATGGGGGGGGGGAGACTAAAGAAGAAGTCGCGTGCCAGGGCAACGAGATCTCTAAGCAGCGGAGGACGTCCCCAGGCCTGGTGCGGCGCGCGGGTGGCCCCGGAGCGCTGCTGGCGGGCGCGCTGGGCGCGAGGGGAGCTCCGCCACCGTGTCCCTGTTGGGGACAGGAGCAGCGCCCGGTCCTCGGCCGGGGCAGAGCAGGAGCCCCGAGGCGCGCATAGTCCCTTTGCGCTGATACCCGAAGAGCATCGCTGCAGTTCAGGGTAGCCCGTGGCAGATAGGAGAAGTCCCTGTGCTTCATTGAACGCCTTCTGCAAATGCTGATGGAGAGGTAGAGGGGAAGCTTTGGGGTCGCTGTGCCGCAGACCCTTGTACGTGTAAATAAACCGTGGCCATGGGAGGAAATCCATGTTTTCAGTTGCTTGCCTTAAAGGGGTGGCTGATGTGCTTGCTGCTGCCCAGCCTCCCCAAGCCAAGTTTAACTGGGCCTCTGGTCCGCGATGGCTGGGGCTGAGGTTGGGCCGATTCCTCACTGCTGAAGGCACCGTCCGTCCCTCTGCAGAGGGGCTGAGGAAAGAAGGGCTCTTGAAAGGGGCAGGAAGCGTTGCCCTGACCCGGGCGGGCTCGGACGAGGCGTGCGGCAGCTGCTCTGCCCCGCTCAAGCATCCTGCTCTCCCTGCAAAGAGATCTTACTTTATAGGAATATGTCTCTTAGACATAACGCCATCTGTCCTCCCCATAACTTGAACCCTGTACCTCTGGTGCGGCACTGATGCGGTTAGCGCTATCAGCGCTCAGTACCAGTCACGTTCTCTTTAGAAGATGTTTGTGACTGAGAAATCCCGCTAAAGCGATGATTCGGTTGGGATTGCTCGGCTCACGCGAAGCCACATCGAGGGGACAGGTTTGCAAGCCGCAAACAACATATGCTTGGGCGTTATTAACCGTCCGTGTTTTGCCAGGCACATGTGTTGGTGTTTGCAGGATCAGGGCCCCGGTCTCTGTTAAAGAGGGCACATACATATAATACGCACAGCTGAACTGAGTCTCCTATTCAGCTGCTTATTTCTTTCTAAATCACTGAACTGCAGCTGTGGAAGTTCTCATAGAAACTAGCCCTAAATCCCCAGCTCCCCTCCTTAAAATCTGGAGCAAACGATGCAGCGCTAGCCAGACACCAGAGAAGGGGAGACGATTCTGCAGAGTGCGGATGTGTTTGTGTGACGTGCAGATCAAACAGAAGGCTTGTCAGAAGCTGATACTAATAAATAAGCTTTAAGTTTAAAATTGGACTATGAAGGACACCACTCTATTGCTTTTGCTGGAGTAATGAATTTCTGAAAACTCTCAGCAGTTCCCATGTATTGAACTGCCAAATGTTTGATACTGGGGACTTTTTTTCCCTTCTTCTTTTTGAGTGTTAAATGATTTTCTGCGAGGTTTCTCGCCTGCGTGTGCATGAAAGCCCACGGCGGTGTAAAGCGTGCCGGCTCTGTGTCTTGCAGGCAGATCTGCAAGGAATTCACCGACCTCCTCACTCAGGACAGAACCCCTCTCGGGAACACGCGCCCCAGCCCCATCTTGGACCCTGGCATCCAGGGCTGTTTGACTCATTTTAGCCTGATCACACATGGCTTTGGGAGCGCTGCCATCTGTGCTGCCATGACATCCGTCCAGAACTACCTAAATGAAGCATTAAAAATAGCAGACAAAACGTACATGAACGCTGGCGACCAGAGCCCCGCAGAAACCAACAAAACCATGGATAAAATGGATAAGCACAGGAAGTAAAAGGAGAGAAACCAGACTTCAAACTCTTCCTCCTAAACACAGACTGGGATCTTCTTGCCGGGGGGAATGTAGAAATTTGTTTTTGTTTTTTTTTTAAAGAAAGGAGGAAAAAGAGGAACAAAAACCCCATCTTATTCAGGATCTTCACTCCCCCTGGATTCATGAGACAAGTCTTTCTAAAAGCTGCAGTATCCCTTATCTGTGGAAGCAATTACCAGAAGATAAGTACTTGGTACAAGTGTATTGAGATCTTTTGCTGTAAAAGTGGTGCTATATGAGGGTTTTGATGGAAATATACAAAGAGATATATTTAGATTTTTCCACATCTAAGTACCCGGTGGTGACCAACTTCACGTATAGTTTTTAAAATGCAGATTTTAGATGGGAGCCTATTTGATATCTGACAAAATTTCAGGGTTTTGTTCTCTCTAAATGCAACAGTAACAATAAAGCAGTATTAAACAATGGTATATAGATTTATGTACGTTACAAATTTTTTTATGAACGCCTGAAAATAGTAAGATTATTCTGTTCTTTGCTTTATTTTCAAATTACCATAGGAGAGTACTAAAATCCTGGTAGATAAAAAGTTATCTGATGGCATTTGACATGCTTATTTTTATGGAAATATTCAGGCTTTCAAAAACTGCAGTAATGGTGGCTGCAGTGGGATGTTATCTTGATATTTTTTTAACAAGGAATAGTTCAAAATGAAAATGCTTTTAGAAAATGAATTTTTTTGTGTCTAAGGATATTGCAGCTTTATTCACATATTTATATTGTGTCTTGTTTTTTAAATTGGGGGGGTGGGACTTGAAAGAATAGGCACATAACTTTTTTTTTTTAAACTTTTGTTTTTGCCTATTAAGGCCAAAAAATATTTCCAGGGAGGCTTTATGTGTATTAAGGGAAGCAGTATGTTGAATGTAAATATTTATTTATGTGTAATTTAATCGGATTTGTAAATAATGGTGAACTTTTTAATACTTTTTTTTTATAAATGGGTTTCAAATTTTAATTTTGGTAAGTATTTCAAAGGTAATGGGTAAGCTAAACATATCTTTAGATTTATGCACAGGTATGTTATACAGGGTATTTAAGACTTGTTTTTTTTGTTTTTTTTTTTTAAATCTCGATTCTTGCCACTGAAGATTAGATTTAATCTGAGGTGTATGTTCACAAAGCAATAATTTTGTGCATCATTCACCTGATAACTGACTAGACATGCGAAACGAGTGTGTGAGTTAGTGTGTATGTGAATAATGGAGGTTTTGACCTATCTTTACATATTTGTAAATGTTCCCACTATAATTCTGATGTATATGATAACCATATAATAAAAGTATTCTGGATAGAAGCATGGAATGTTTTGTTAAGCGAAAACGGTTTTGTTTTCTTTCTATACTTGAGGAATGTAGGGTGAGTAGCACTAGAGGACATTATGTATTGAGTCATAATTGCAGCACTTTGTTCAGATTAACAGAACAGAAATATGAAGCTGTTTGCCAGTAAAACTAATGGTTTCAATTAAACTTGCTATGTATCTCCAAGAATCTTTTTTTTTTTTCCCCCTCAGATGTCATTATCATGCTAGCTGCCTGTTTAAATAGGCAGCTCAAGACAAATTTCAAGGCTTCCTTTTAATAAAAATTAATCCTGCCTGCTTTGTTCTGTAGTGAATCTGACTATATTAGAATCTGCATCTGTAATGATTAATCTTTGCAAAATCCTGGTATATGAAAGTTAATGTATCTCCCATCTGGTTTTAGCCTCATTTTACTGAGTTGTGGAAATTTACAGCTTTTTGTGCTAATTTACTGCACAGAAACATCTTGTGCTGTGGTGGTGACAATGGATTTGAGGCCTTCAGTGGCGTTCAGTGTCCCGGATGCTAAATAGCCGAACAAGCGTTCCTGCAAAGAAACTTTTTCTAAGCACTTCACAAACCAGCGGCGACACTAACCTGGGCGTTATTCTGCAGCTGGCATTTTCACGTCCGTTAAATCTCTGCCTAGGCTGTGGCGAGGGCAAAAGTTACAAACGATCAGCTGGACGTGCATAGCTACAAGTAAGCGTTTGGTTAGCATTACTGTGGTGTGCTGCTTTGTTGAGAGATGTGGGGATGGAGTAATATGTACAATTTCTGAAAACTTGATTTATAAATTCTTTTTGTTTTCATTGTTTTTCCCCTAAAATAAAGGCAAACCTGCTGAAGGTGTGCAGGGAGACGAAAGGGAAGTTCAAAGACACAAATGAAATTGCTATTCCAGTGGTGAGCTGGAACAAACCTGGTTTTTGATTTGCCTTCCAGTCCCTGTCCTCCCCTGGAGAGGTGTGAAATTCCAGTCTTTGCATTTGTTAGACCCATTGTAGCGTTTGGGCAATAAGCATTTGGGACCATCTGTAGGCACGAACGCAGCCAGGACTTGTCACGACCAACAGAACTTGTTAAAATACATCATATGGGTACAGCAAAACGGTAGGTATGATGAGAACAATTGCTGCTCAGAGAATGAGATGCCGAAGTTTTTTGGGGACGGGTGCTGTTTCTGCTGCTGGGCCGCTTCTGCAGCGTACGATAGTCAGATGTTTTAGCTGCCAGACAATGGAATCTTACTTTTTATTAATGCACGAAACCAGGCTCTGAAATAGTAGCCCCTTGGGATAGGAAGTAGGGATGTTTCCATTTATTCCTGCATGCGTTCAAGCAAAGCCAGTCAGTTGTCTAATGTACTGACTCGGGTTCTAGTGGTATATTTGGAACATTAGACATGTTGAGTTTCCATTACCTTAATGCTTCTCCTCTACTGTATATTTTAGATGCCTCATTTTGAGGCTCAGCTACCTCCTAAGCTGTCCCAGCAATATGAAACAAGAACAGTGTCTTCTGCTCCTTTCACTGAAGAGAACGGTTAAACTCCGACCTGAGCTTATCTGTCATCTGAAATGATTAATCTAAGGAAAATGTGATAGGTTAGTGACTTCTGGGGAAAACCAAACAGCACGGGGCAATCTGAACGTGCAGGGAAATCTCTTTTTTTTCTTTTTTTTTTTTTTTCTGTTCCTCCAATTTTTATGCTTGTTGCTGCTAAACATGGAACAGCCACGAGCTGGCTAAAATAAAATAAATTCTGTGGGGCTGTTCTGAAATTACATGTTTTGTTTTCTTTAAAAATTAAATATCTCCATTACTCAGGCACCCCTATCTCATTCCTGTTTTCACTCAGAAAAACGTGTTTTTTTTGGTGTTGACATGGGAAAATAGGATTTCAAACTACCAAGGGTTTGAAAGTAAAAATTCTGAAGTTGAAAAGAACCGTTATAAAGAATAACCTCTTGGCAAGGTATGTTATTTGATATATGCCCACAAAATACTTTGCTTATGTGCTGTTGGTGTTACTTAACACAAAAATGGCTTGTGAAAACGATTTTGGCCAGCTCCGGCTTGGCCGAGAGCAGCAGCCCCGCGTCGGGGCCTGTCCCGAGCTGCTGCTGCCTCCGTTGCCCCCGCAGCTGCTGGGGGCATGCTGTTGGCAACCCCATTAGTCCTGATCGTTAATTCCTAATCTGATTAATACCCGAGGGCCCAGCTCCTGGAGTCGTCTGACCTTGTGACAGTAGCTTCAAGAAGAAACGTTTCTGATTGTCAAGGCTCCAAAGAGGAAAAATCACACCAAGCTAGCAGAGAGAAGGAGGGGGAAAAAATAAGAACTGTGCCTCAGCCTGCTCCGCTTTCTCGTGGCAGCCCTTTCTTCCCTGTTTTTTCCTTGCGAGTGCTGTTTATGTAGTAGATATTTAGTAGATATTTTGTCCTAACGGTGTGGAGCCCCGGTCCTGGCAGGGGCCTTGGGCTGCGCGCGGGGACCCGCTCCGTGGTAACTGCTTCCTTATTTTCTTAGGGCGCTCCTAAAATTTATGTCCAAAACTTAAGTTTGTTAAAAGGACATTAGGAAGTTGGGGACAAAGACGCTTCCCTCCCAGGAAAAGAAAAATAGTAAGTTCCCACACTGGAATATGTTTCTGCTCATCAGTGCTTACAGGTCCTTGCAAAGGACAACCTGGAGCCCCTTTCGGCAAGTGCCTCGGGGTGCCTCGGGGGGGATTTGACCTCGACCTGGCGGTGAGCCGCGGGCAACGCACAGGGAGCCGTGTAAATGGGAATTTGCTCCTAAACCTTGGCCGCAGCAGATACGCCATGTCTCTGTAAAATCTGCATGCTATCCAGATCGCTCGTGGTCTGTCGTAACGTTTCTATGGTGCCTGTTTCTGCTGCCTGGTACGTGGTGTCACGCTATACACGTAGCAGCCTGCGTGACCGTCGCCAGAAATTACACGGGGCCGACGCGGGAACGGTATTGTTAGCAAATTGTTAAAGCCCGTTCGGTATTGCTTGCTGCTTTCTCTCTCTTTCATTTTCGCTTTTGTAGGATTATAAAAATAAGCTGTCTCCCAGCCTCAGATGCCGTTTCGCGTTCACTGGATGTCCTTGTATGTCTTGCAAGGATGTTCCAGCTGCTTTCCATGGGCCGTTATTGTGTAAGGTCTGGCCACAAATATTCTATTTTTCCTCTCTGTTGGCGAAACAGCCCTTTTTAGCTGGTTTGCGTGAAGGCCTTGCTCGCAGGCTATTCCGTGACACATTCTCTGAATATTCCATTTGATCTACGTTTTTGCCCGTATTCTTAAATTCAAACCATGTAATCATACAGGCACTCCCTTTGCCTTGAAACTCGGACATTTGTTTACTAATAGAGCAGCCTGTTCGGAGATCTGAGATCACCGAAATAACAGACCATGCCTTTAGGTGAGCTGTAGAGCTTATATTTCAGAGTCGTGCTTATATTTTCAGGTCAATCAGCATAAAACTAAAGGAGAAGTGGTAATTCAGGGTGCCCATATGTGATAGGACTATCACTGAAAGCTAAGAGGAGCTGCAAGGTCGAGTTCTTCAGGTGATACCTGCAACCCAGAACTAATTCCTACTTAATTGAAGGAATTTCTCAGTAACGGAACTCAAAGTGGCCTAAAAGGCTGCCGGCATCCTTATTGCAGGTGGGACACTACAGCAGGGAAAAGGGGAGTGGTTTAATTGCAG